CTCCACCCACCCCCTCCCCTCCTTCCCTCTGAGATTCGTCAGTCTGATCCGTCTTCCATGTCACTGAATCCATTCTGTTCATCAGTTTATTAGGTTCTTTAGATTCCACATATAAGTGAAATCATGTGATGCTTGTCTTTCTCTACCTGGCTTATTTCATTTAGCATAATAGTCTCCAGGTCCATTCATACTGTCCCAAAGGGTATGAGGTCCTTCTTCTTTATAGCTGCATAGTGTTCCATGGTGTAAGTTTCCCATAGCTTTTTTATCTACTCATCTACTGATGGGCACTTGGGCTGTTTCCAGATCTTAGCTATTGTAAATTGCACTGCTAGGAGCATAGGGGTGCATGTATTCTTTCTGATTCTTTCAGGATTCTTAGGATATATTCCTAGAAGTGGGATCACTAGGTCAAAAGGCAGTTTCATTTTTAATTTTGGGGGGAACCTCCGTACTGTTTTCCATAATGGCTGCACCAGTCTGCATTCCCACCAGCAGTGTACCAGGGTTCACCTTTCTCCACATCCTTGCCAGCACATAGTGTTTGTTGACTTGTTGATGGCAGCCATTCTGACAGGTGTGAAATGATACGTCATTGTGGTTTTAATTTGCATCTCTCTGGTGATTAGTGACGTTGAACATTTTTTCATGTGTCTCTTGGCGCCATCTGTATGTCCTCTTTGGAGAAGTGTCTATTCAGGTCCTTTGCCTATTTTTTAATTGGATTGTTTGTCTTCCTCTTGTTGAGTTCTACAAGTTCTTTGTACACTTTGGAAATTAGCCCCTTATTAGATACACCCTTTACAAATATGTTTTCCCAATCCTATGGGTTTCCTTTGTATTTTGAGGCAAATTTGTTTTGCTGTGCAAAAGCTTTTAATTTTTACGTAGTCCCATTTGTTTACTTTTTCTTTTGTTTCTCTTGTCCTGGGAGATGTATCAGTGAAAATTCCACTACATGAAAAGTCTATGACTTTACTACCCATGTTTTCTTCCAGGACTGTTATAGTTTCGCAATTTACATTTAAGTCTTTTATCCATTTAGAGTTTATTTTTGTGTATGGTGTAAGTTGGTGGTCTAGTTTCATTTTTTCGCATGTATCTGTCCGATTTTCCCAGCACCATTTATTGAAGAGACTGTCTTTACTCCATTGTATGCTCTTGCCTCCTTGTTCATTACTAACTGACCGTAATTGCATGGGTCTATTTCTGGGGTCTCTGTTCTGTTTCATTGATCTATATGTCTGTTGTTGTACCAATACCAGGCTGTTTTGATTACAATAGTTTTGTAGTACAGTTTGATATCTGATAAAGCGACCCTTCCCACTCTGTTCTTTCTCAAGATGGCTGCGGCTATTCCGGGTCTTTCTTGGTTCCATATAAATTTTTGGAATATTTTTTCTAGCTCTGTGAAATATACTGTTGGTATTTTAATAGGAATTGCACTGAACCTATAGATTGCTTTGAGTAGTATGGTAGTATGGAAATTTTTATGATACTAATTCTTCCAGTCTATGAGCATGGTATATTCTTCTACTTGTTTATATCTCCCTCTGTTTCTTTTTTCAGTGTCTTATCGTTTTCTGAGTATAGGTCTTTTACATCCTTGGTTAAGTTTATTCCCAGTTATCTAATTGTTTTATTTGTAATGGTAAATGGTATTGTTTTTTTAGTTTCTCTTTCTGAGAGTTCATTGTTGGTGTATAAAAATGCCATTGATTTTTGGATGTTAATTTTGTATCCAACTACCTTGATTTTATTCATTTTGGTCTTTTTTTCTCTTTTTCTTGAGTCCAGTTAAAGGTTTATAAATCTTGTTTATCTTTTCTAAAAACCAGCTCCTTATTTCATTGATTTTTTTCAAATTTTTTTTTAGACTCTTTTTTATTTCTGCTCTGATTATTATTTCCTTCCTTTTACTCATTTTGTGCTTTGCTTATTCTTCTCTTTGCTAGTTTCTTTAAGTGTAAGGATAGATTATTAACTTGAGATTTCTCTTGTTTCTTGAGGTAGGCCTCTACTGCTGTGAATTTTCCTCTTAGAACTGCTATAACTGTGTCCCATAGATTTTTATGTTATTGTGTTTTCAGTTTTATTTGTCTCAATATATATTTTGATTTCTTCCTTAATCTCATTCTTCATCCACTCATTGTTTAGTAGCATGCTACTTAACCTCCATGAGTTTGTGTGTTTTTCAGTTTTCTTCTTATAATTAAATTCTAGTTTTATGCCAGTGAGATCAGAGGTTAGGGCTTGATATGATTTCAGTCTTCTTAAGTTGCCCAGCTGGGCTTGGCTCAGCAGTTGAGCGTCAGTCAACCTAGGATCCAGGCAATCAGGGTTTGATTCCCAGTCAGGGCACATGCCCAGGTTTTAGGCTTGATCCCCAGTTGGGGGCATGCAGGAGGCAGCCGATCTATGACTCTCGTATCGTTGATGTTTCTATCTCTCTCTCTCCCTCTCCTTTCCTCTCTCTGAAATCAATAAAGATATATTTTTTTAAAAAAAGTTTATTGAGACTTGTTTTATGTCCTAACATGTTGTCTGTCCTAAAAATGTTTATGTGCACTTGCAAAGAATGTATATTCTGATGCTTTGGGGTAGAATTTTCTAAAAATATCAATTAAATTCATCTGTTCTAATGTGGCATTTAAGGCTGCTGTTTCCTTATTTGCTGTCTGGATGATCTATTCATTGATATTAATGGAGTGTTAAAGCCCCCTACTATAATATATTACTTTCAATTTCTCCCTTTAGGTCTGTCAATATTTGCTTTATAAATATATATGTGTGTGTGTGTATGTATTTTTCTACTTTGGGTGCATAATTGTTTATAAGGGTTATATTTCCTTGTTGAATTGATCCCTTTATTATTAAGAAATATCCTTCTTATTGA